ATTTTATTGATTTTTTTTACAGAGAGGAAAGGAGAGGGATAGTTAGAAACGTCGATGAGAGAGACACATCGACCAGTTGCCTCTTGCACACCCCCTACCGGTGATGTGCCCGCAACCAAGGTACATGCCCTTGACCGGAATCGAACCCGGGACCTTTCAGTCCGCAGACCGACGCTCTACCACTGAGCCAAACCGGGTTCAGCAGAATTTCACATTCTTCTTATTCAAATATTCTTGCTAGAATAAATCTGAGAAAGGGAAAAAAAAGAGTGATTGAGTGCCAAGCTGGAATAGGTCCTAGAACATACTGAAACATTAACTTTCCCAAGTGTTCCACAGGGTGGCGTCCCATTGTTATTGTTAAGTTTTTGTTCTGATTAGTTTCGTTTCCACTCCTATGAATTTAACTTTCATTTCTCAGCTCTGCTGTGTGGAGACACTCCTCGGTGGAGGACTCATTTCTGGATTGATGAGTGGATCTTGACCAGATTTACACTATTATCTTCTCCACTCTAAAGTAAGTGGGGCAGTTTCCTGGGGGAGCAAACTGAATGTGTTTGGTGTCTTAAATTATGGTTCTGGGGCTGCTCTGCTTGTGGGTGTCTCTGTTTGAGCTGGCAGAAAAAAATGAACACTGCGTCTGGGGGAAGAGTGACTTTTAAAGAAGGGAGGTTTAAAAGAGCAGAGTCTTGTTTATTTCTCGGAGGGACTATTATTTCTCCAGGCTGAGTTACCCTCATTTTCTTCCTATTCTGATTTTTTGACTCTCTACCTTGCCAAATTGATCCAGAATATTTTTCCCCCCCAGACAGAAAATCTCTTCCTCCTATTCTCCAGTGAAACCTGTGAGATGGAGCTCTGTTTTTGTTTTGTTTTGTTTTGTTTTTTTCCTTTTCATAAAGCCCTGGTGAGGCCAGCAGGGGTGAGAGCCCTTGTCTGGATGCATGTGGGAAAGGATGGGATCTCTTGAAAACTGGTCCTTGTACTTGTTTGTTAAATTATCATTATTTTTTTTTTTAAATAAAAACTTTTTCTTAAGAAGTACAAGCTTTCAGACAACAAGCTTCATCTAGCTGTAGTTGGCAACAGACATTGTGACAAGGAATTCAGATGTAAAAACAGGAATGGAATTTAGGATCGACATTGTCCCAGTTACAATGTTGATTCTAAATTCCATTAGGAGCAGCTCATTTCTGGCCAGATGTCTTAGTCATGCAAGTGTCCTGGGGGCCTTTCCCCTTGGCCTTTGCTCCCAGTTCCTCATTTCTTGGGTTTTTTTATTCTCTCTCTTTTTTTTTTCTTTCTGCTCTAATGACATAGCTTCCTCTTTCATCTCCTTGGCCTGCTTCTTGGGCTACTTTAGAGACTTTTTGTTTGTGTTTTTTTTTTTTTTTTTTTTTTTTTTTGTGTGTGTGTGTGTGTGTGTGTATTGTTTTGTTTTGTTTTTGTTTTTGCCATCTTTAAGACTAGAAATGGCATCTGCTGCCCTTTCCCATGATCTGATTCTTTTACTCTTGTCTTGGTAACTTTTGGGAAGTTGTGCACAACCTTCCTGATAACTGTACAGTCCTCTGGCAAGCTGGTGAACAAGGATGGATGATCAGGTTGTTGCCCATCTCTGTAGCTCCCATGTGATCACTTGTCTCTCTGAAGGTACAAGAACAGGGAATTTTCTCTCCACTGAGAGCCACATATCATTGTTACCTCAGTGCATCCCAATAATATTGGTTATAATCTACTTCTTGCAACCTCTCCCTATTTTTGTTTTTGTCTTTATAAATCTGTGCAGTAGTGGAGAGAACAATAATGGTAATATTGAAGGCAATATGTTTCTCAGCAATTCTACCTATTTTAAAAATGACATTGACCTCTGTAAGTCATTTATTTTATTTACACATCTGAAGGAAAAAGTACTTTTTATTTTTTTATTATTATTATTATTATTTTTTAATATATATTATTGATTTTATACAGAGAGGAAGGGAGAGAGATAGAGAGTTAGAAACATCGATGACAGAGAGTCATCGATCAGCTGCCTCTTGCACACCCCCTATTGGGGATATGCCCGCATCCAAGGTACATGCCCTTGACCGGAATCGAACCCTGGGACCCTTCAGTTCCCAAGCCGATGCTCTATCCATTGAGCCAAACCGGTCCTGGCACTTTTTATTTTTTAAGTTTCTTTTTCTTTCTTTATTTTATTATTATTATTTAAAAATATATATTTTATTTATTTTTTACAGAGAGGAAGAGAGACGGCTAGAGAGTTAGAAACATAGATGAGAGAGAATCATCGACCAGCTGCCTCTTGCACACCTCTTACTGGGGATGTGCTCACAACCAAGGTACATGCCCTTGAATGGAATCGAATCCAGGATCTTTCAGTTTGCAGGCCGTCGCTCTATCCACTGAACCAAACCAATTTCGGCTTCTTTCTTTATCATTTTTCAATTACAGTTGATATTCAATATCGTTTTGTATTACTTTCTGGTGTACAGCATCTAACCTGTGAGGTGGAGCCCTGTTTAGACAATCATATAAACTAAAAAGTGTTTTCTTCCTTATCATACCCGTCTGTATCATATATAGTTATTAAAATATTATTGACTATATATTCTATGCTGTATTTTTATATTTACATGACCATTTTGTGACTACCAATGTGTACTTTTTAAATTCAAGAATGGAGTAATAGTATAAAAAATACATATATAAGAAATAAATAGACCAATGTGATTTCTAAATTATAACTGGTTATAAAATTGTTAGTGATGAAATGACCTCAATATTATGTCTTTGATGTTTCTGTAGGTGTCTTTGGGGAATGAGTTTGAAGGTATAGGAAGGCTCTGTGCAATTCAGGAGTGTTAGCAGATAAACACTTCTCATGTATTGGAGAACTGCTAATTAATGGTAATAAAAATGAAAGCTGATAAGAAAATGTCTAATTATCTATAGAGAGATGGGGAATGGGGAACTTCTAGTTTTATATATTCACCAAACATTGTGTTCTTCTGTGAGGTACTGAGTACATCAGTGAACAAAAGAAATAAGTTATATGTTAGGTAATAAAAACAAGAAAAACATATCAAGGGTACAGCTAGCAATAGTATTGGTGGTTTATAATAAGTTAGAGCATGCCATTCTGATAAGAGACATGTGAGGTGGAAGACAGAATAAAATGTAAGAAGGAGTCATGCTGACATCAGGGAGATCATTCCATTTAGAGATAAGCAAGTGTAAAATCTGAGAGGCAGCAGTGTATTTGATAGTTTTAATATCAAAAACACGTTTTTATTATGAGAAAGAAAGGCAGGAGAGATGAACCTCAATGACTGCCTGTGAAGTGAGGGAGTTCAGACTCAAAGGATCATCTATAATAATAAAAACATAATATGCAAATCAACCGAATGACTGAACAGCAGAATGACCATCCAGACGACCTCCTGGATGACCACACTATGATACATACTGGCACCAGGCCAACTAAGGTGGGTGCGATGCTATTGGTCAGGAGGCCCTGCCCTTGCCCCATGATCGCACAACAGGAGGAGGCCAGGCCATCCTCTGTGGGGTGATTGATGGGGAGTTCAGCATTTGATTTCCCCAAAGAGGGTGACCAAGGCCACCCAGCTGGTGGCCACAGAGGATGGCCCAGGTCACCCAGCTGGCAGCACTGTGGTGGGTGGCCTCCCTCTGTGGGGTGATCAATCTGGGGGCCCCATGATCAATCGCCCACAGAGGAAAGGCCCACGCCACCAGCTAGCAATGCTGTGATGGGTGTGCAGAGCTGGCCAGTGATCACTCCACAGCGGGAGGCCCAGGCCAGCCAAGAGATCACACCGCACACTTATCACCTGCAGAGGAAGGCAACCAGTGGTGGGGAGAGGGGGCAGTGTCACACAGGTGGCAAGCAGTGGCAGTGGTAGGGGTGGGTCAGCTGTTGGCAACCAGGGGGAGAAAAGCCCCCATAGGCCCTGATCACCAGCCAGGCCTAGGGACCATACTCCAGGGGTCCTGGATTATAAGAGGGCATGGGTTGGGCTGAGGAAAACCCCCCTCACATGCACAAATTTCATGCACTGGACCTCTAGTATATTATATTTTTTGCTGTTAAGAATTAATCAGAAAAAGAAATTTTGTAAAGACACTAAGGCTCGGGGTCAGAATGGGAGTGACTGCTAATGGCCTTAAGCTTGTTTCCAAGCAATAGAAATGTTCTAAAATTATATTGTGGTGATAGTTATTCTGTTTAATAAATGTATTAGAAACTTTTGTACTCTTAAGATGAATGCATCAATGTAAATATAACTCAATAAAACTGTTCAAATATAGTAAGTCATGCAAGTATAAAAGGCCAGAGTGCTGCAGTGGGGTTAGTGCAGTGGTTGGCGAACTCATTAGCACAATAGTACAATGATTGAAATTTCTTTTGAGAGCCAAATTTTTAAAAATTTAAACTTCTAATGCCACTTCTTCAAACTAGACTCACCCAAGCCATGGCATTTTGTGGAAGAGCCACTCTCAAAAGGCCAAAGAGTCACATGTGGCTCGAGAGCCGCAGTTTGCTGACAACTGGGTTAGTGTATCTAACCTGTTGGATGTGTTTGCAGGTGAGAAATAATAGACAAGACTAATGGATGCGTAACATAAAGCTTTTGGTAGGAAGGGCCTCAAGTTGACCTCCATCCAGTAGAAGAGAAAACAGCAAGTATTGCCTTGATAGGGTGAAATTTGTCATGTGACATAAACTAAGATAAAGTGTTTGAAATTATTACAAAGGGACTTCTTCATTTTGTCACTGACTACTCTTCTTCTCCATCTCTTTTCCTTTCTTTACCGAATATTAAAGTTTTGTCCTGCTCTAAATGTCTGCCCAACCAGTATCCTTTCTATTCCTGTCTTTCTTATCCTGCCCTCTTTAATATTCCCAGCCTTGCAGGAGTCTGTGAACAAGAGCCTCTGAAGTCAGGACAGGAAGAAGCCAGGAGAGCACAGAAATGGATTTTTCATCACAGGGGAGTATAATCGAGGAGTTGATCTGTTGCATCTGCCGGCAGCTCCTGACAGAGCCCCTGAGTCTGAACTGTGGCCACAACTTCTGCCAAGCCTGCATCTCTGCCAATGAGTCAGAGAGCTTCTTTGGAGGGCAATGCCGCTGTCCTGTGTGCCAGAGCCCATATGACCCTTGGAACCTCCTGCCTAATCAGCAGTTGACCGACAGAGTGAAGAAAATCAGAGAAGCCAACATGTCGTCCCACCAGCAGCAGAGGAGAGATCTCTGTGAGCACCATGGGGAAAATTGCCATCTCTTCTGTAAGGAGGATGGGAAGGCCATTTGCAGCCTTTGTGTCCAGGAGCAGCACCAAGGCCACCAAATATATAGCGTGGAGGAGGTGGTCAAGGAATGTCAGGTAGGCCCCAGGGTGTGAAAACATTGGGCGGAATGTCACCTGAAGTGAAATTTTTACTGCTTAATCCTATTTCTTTCCCTTGTCATCATAGAACTGAGTGCTGCTTTCTCTTTGATATTCTTGGTTCAGCTTCTGAGGCCTGAGGGATATGGTTGTGCATTCATTCATTTTCTTCAATAATATGCACATCAAAGAGAAGTTCTATGAGTGAGTTACTTCTCAAGAAAAGTTCTGGTTGCCCCGGGAACAGATGGGATTTTTGGGAACATGGTTAGATCTGGGAAGAGTGTTCTTGAGGAGAAAGGACTTTGCTTGCTGCAGGATCAGTTCTTTCTCTAGGAAAAGAGAAATCTGAACTACTTGATACAGAGATAGAAACTTGCATCATCCTGGGATAAAGGACACACATACTTCCTCAGATTTCTGTCTGCATTCTCAGTCCTGTTGCCTAGCTTCAGTTCTGATTTTTCCATTTATCCTCTATCCAGGTGCTTAGAAAGCTCATAGCATGACTTTGGTGGTTCCTTTCTCACAGGAGAAATTCCAGGTGGCTGTGGACAGGCTGACACAGGAGCAGCAGGAAGCTGAGAGGTTGGAAGCTGTCATTAATGAAGAGAGAGATACCTGGAAGGTAAAAACACATTATTCCTGATGCAGTTCTGAAACATCAAAATGGGCAGCACCTTATCCAATCACAAGGGGCCCTTTCCTCCTTGTTACCTCAGAATTAAAGAGTCCAGAAGACTTGTGCTTAGTCCTCATTCAATTCCTTTCCTATTGAGGGTTGGGAGTTACAGAGTATACACTCCCAAATGAAAACAACTATTTGGAGGCAAAGAAAGAGAGAACCGATGTAAAAGTGATTCATGCATCCATGTTCCATTTCTATAATCAAGTTTGTGGTTCTGATACTGCCAGAAGAAATGTTAAGGAAGGCCAAGGAGTCCCTGTTTTTGGAGATATGGGTGGAGGAGTTCCATATAAAGTGTGGCATTATTATCCAAGCCTCATCCAGGTAGCACATGTATTTCCTGGTGGGCCATGAGAAAGTAGACTTGAATGAATTGCTTTGGGAACAGCTCAAGGAAAATAGTAGGAAAAATGCCTTTTCCTGGAATGGCTCCCTTTATTTTACCTTGTAAGTGCCTGAGGAAACTATTGCATTGGCTTTCGAAGGCGCATAAAAAGTAGGTCTTCAGCTAGACTTTCTGACTGCCTCTTTTTATTCTCATCCTTAAAGAATTATATGCAGACTGAAAGAGAGAGAATTCTAAAGGGGTTCGAGGAAATGAGAGGCATCCTGGACAGAGAAGAGAAAAGGGAGCTGCAAAAGCTGGATGACAACGAAGTGCATGTGCTGGATAACTTGGCAGTGGCTAAAGACCAGATAGTCCAGCAGAGCCAGTACATGAGAGAGCTCATCTCAGATCTCCAACGTCATATGTGTGAAGCATCAATGGACACGCTGCAGGTAAGACTTAGGATGGAGATCCTACATATGAGATTTGGGGGAATCATAGAGATTATGCTTCTTTTCCCTCTGGGTCCCTGCACTTTCTTCCTCATTGAAAAGTTCCTTTGACCCTTAAATGCTCCTTCTCTGTCATTCATTTTATGGGTCATTAGGAAAATTCAATGTACAAATGACAAATAATGAAACACATTATTATTTTATAAAGTGCCATGCAAAAATTTGAGAGAGGATTTCTTGTTATATTCTATTATCATCTAGCATTTGTAAGGCATTTCTTCACTCAGCTTACTCAAGCAACTCATATCTCTATGTTAGGTTTTGTTGTTTTGTTAAGGGGTAGCAAATGTGATACCTGTGTGAGGGATGAGAATATATGACTATGTGTATGTGTTTGTGCATGTGCATTTGTGTGTGTGTGTGTGTACACACTGGTTAGAGAAAGATGGGATAAATATAGCACTTTGACAAAGAAATTGTACCGAAGTTATTCTTTTTCCATGGAATTAGCTGCATGACTAACGTTAAGCTAGGAAACATATTGGGAAGCTGAGGAAATTTCAAATTTTCTCTGCTTGACTTCTTGCCATTCTTTTTTGCTAGTTGAACAAGAATTTCTTAACTTTGGTTTCAATAGCGAAGTAACCAATTTCCATCTGCTGGGTCTTTACTTCTTCCTCAAAAAACATATTTTTGAAGTACAAATTGCATTAAAAATATACCCTTTGTAAATGTATAACTCAAATATTTTTAGTAAATATATTGAATTGTTAAACTGTGTCCAAACAAGTACAACACTTTTGAAAAAAATCTCTCCCTTCTCCCATGGAATTATTGTGGCACCTTTGTCAAAAATAAATTTGCTCTATTATATTTTTGGATTAGTGAAACAATTCTATTCAATTTAATTTCAAAACAACTCCCCCCCCCCTATAAAAGCAATTCAATTCTATTTCAAAAACAATTCTATTTTAAGTTGGAATATCTCTTAAGACTGAAGCACCTCTGCCCCAAGGATCATGAAAATTCTACTGCCATCTAGTGGGTAGAGGCCAAAGATGTTACTCATCCACAACAAACCACAGAGCAGACCCCATTGGACAGTTTTTTGGTTTTGTGTGTGGTGTGTGTGTGTGTGTGTGTGTGTGTGTGTGTGTGTTTGGGGGGAGGGTATAACCACCTGTTGAATTACTTTTTGAGTAATTTCAGTTCATGTAATTGGTTAGAATTGATAAAACCACTATTAATAGCACCAGGGATGTATAGTTTCTCAGTTCTAGGTACATCAGCATATTTAATTTCTATAGGTTTACCAAAGATGCAGTGATTATTTTAAGATATGCACCTGACCTAATCAGGGCAATGATTTGTGTGTCTTAGAAGGTTATTGTTATGACTAGAAAGGAAAATTCTCTTTTCCACTATGTGATATATTAAGGATTATTATTTAAACCAGGATGCTGAACTTGATACCATATAGAGAATGAAAAGAAAGTTCATATAAGCAAGTAGAAAATAGAATTTTGAGAAGAAAGAACTGATCCTGAGAAGATTTTTCTTAGAAATCTAGCTAATGCAAAAGTTCTGCTTGCCCCCCCCCCCCCCCAGTTTCTCTTTTTTGCTTTTAAATTTAAGCTAGTTTTAGCTAGGCTTTTGTTTATATACAGTAACAATAAAAAACACACTATAGAGATTAAAACATTTTTTTGAGGGATTATAGCCAACTAGAGGCCAGGGATTTGCTTATATGAAAGAGTTTAGACTAAAGCGGGAAACCAAATTGTTGGTGAATTCATGTTTAGAGAAATAAGGCAAATAATATTATGACAGGGAAGAGAAGATGGCTAAAAGAAGCTTAGCATATGGACTGGGTTGGCTTAATACAATATTGGAATTCAGGCTAAGATATACTTTTTAAGACAATGATGAAGTGGATATTAATACCGTTCTGGAAAATGGAATGTAAATATCTGGGAAACAGTCAATTACATTTTAGACTTTCTCTGCTGCTGGTTTCTGTGGCTTATTTCACACTTATACATTGATGAATGTATATAGAGTGAGTAGAGGAAGGCTGGAGAAAAACATTTTCTTGATGTGCTAGTTTGCTTGCCCCTAGAGCAAAATAAAATATCCATCCAATGCTCTATCCATTGAGCCAAACCGGTTTCGGCACACAAGTCCTTTAGTTAATCTCCCCCAGCACTCCCCCCCCCCCCTCGCAACTCCTGCCCACTCTCCCCTACCTTCTCTCTGAGGCATGACAGTCTGTTCAATGATTCTATGTCTCTGGATCTATTTTTATTCATCAGTTTAGGTTGTACATTATATTCCACAAATGAGTGAAATCGTGTGATACTTATTTTTCTCTGACTAGCTTATTTCACTTAGTGTAATGCTCTCCAGGTCCATCCATGCTGTTGCAAGTAGTAAAAGTTCTTTCTTTTTTATAGCAGTGTAGTATTTTATTGTGTAGAAGTACCACAGTTTTTTAATCTACTCATCTGCTGATAGGCACTTAGGCTGTTTCCAAATCTTAGCTTTTGTAAATTACACAACTATGAACATCGGGGTGCATATATTCTTTCTGATTGGTGTTTCTGATTTCTTGGGATATGTTCCTAACAATGGGATTACTGGGTCAAATGAGAGTTCCATTTTCAATTTTTTGAGAAAACTCCATACTGTTTTCAGCAAAGGCTGGACCAGTCTGCATTCCCACAAGCAGTGCTAGAGGTTTGGTTCCCTATTCTCCACATCCTCCTCAGCACTTGTCATTTGTTGATTTGTTAATAGTCATTCTGACTGGTGTGAGGTGATATTTCATTGTTGTTTTGATTAGTGATTTTTTTTTTCCATATGTCTTTGACCTTCTGTATATTGACTTTCAAGAAGTATCAATTTAGGTCCTTTGCCTATTTTTAAAAATTGTATTGTTTGTCTTTCTTTTGTTAAATTGTATGACTTCCCTATAAATTTTAGGGATTAAACCCTTATCAGATGTAACATTAGCAAAAAATGTTCTCCCATGCAATGGACTCTCTTGTTATTTTGTTGATAGTTTCTTTTGCTGTGCAGAAGCTTTTTATTTTGAGGTTATCCAATGTATTTTCTTCTTAGTTTCCATTGTCCTAGGAGATGTAGCAGTAAACAAATTTCTATGAGATACGTCTGATAATTTGCCGTCTCTGGATTCTTATAAGATTTTTATGGTTTCCCACCTTACATTTAAGTCATTTATCCACTTTGAGGTTTTTTTTTTTTGTTTGTTTTCTTTTATATATGGTGTAAGCTGGTGGTCAAGTTCCATTTTTTTTTTTTTTTTTTTGCATGTGTCTGTCCAATTTTCCCAACACCATTTATTGAAGAGACTGCCTTGACTCCATTGTATGCTTTTGCATCCTTTCTCAAATATTAATTGAGCATAGTGGTTTGGGCCAATTTCTGGGTTCTCTGTTCTATTCCATTGGTCTATATGTCTGCTCTTGCTCCTGGACCAGGCTGTTTTGAAAACAATGGCTTTGTAATATAACTTGATGTCTGGTATTGTGATCCTTCCAACTTTGTTCTTTTTTTCTCAGGATTACTATAGCTATTTGTTTTGTTTTGTTTTTAATTCTATATAAATTTCTGGAGAGTTTGTTCTATGCTGTTGGTATTTTAATGGGGATTGCATTGAATTTAAGATTGCTTTGGGTGGTATGGACATTTCAATGATGTTGAACACAGTGTATTCTTCCACTTTTTTATGTCTTCCTCTATCTCTTTTTTCAACATCCTGTATTCTGAGTACAGGTCTTTACCTCCTTAATTATGTTTATTCCTAGGCATCTTATTTTTTTTCCCAGTGGTAAATTAGATTGTTTTTTAGTTTTTTTTTCTGTGAGATCATTATTGGTATATAAAAATGCCATAGATTTTTGGGTGTTAATTTTGTATCCTGCTACACTGCCAAATTCATTTATTAAATTTAGTAGTTTTTTTTTTTTTATGGAATCTTTAGGGTTTTCTATATACAATATCATGTCATTAGCAAATAATGACAATTTTAGTTCTTTTCTAATTCAGATGCCTTTTATGTCTTCTTCTTGTCTGATCACTATAGCTAGCACTTCCAGTACTATGTCAAACAGGAGTGGTGAGAGTGGGCATCCCTGTCTTGTTCCTGTTCTTAGGGGAAATGTTTTTAGTTTATGTCCATTGAGTATGTTGCTGGCTATAGCATCATATACGGCTTTTATTATGTTGAGGTATGATCCTTCTATTCCCATTTTGATGAGGGTTTTTTGTTTTTTTTTATCAAGAAAAGGTTTTGGATTTTGTCAAATGCTTTTTATGTATCAGTTGATATGATCATGTGGTTTTTGTCTTTCAATTTGTTTATGTGTTGTATTATGTTTATTGATTTGCAATTATTGTTCCAGCCTTGCATCACTGGGATAAATCCCAATTGGTCATGGGATATGATCTTTTTAATGTATTGCTGGATGTAATTTTCTAATATTTGTTGAGGATCTTATCATCTATGCTCATCAGAGATATTGGCCAGTAATTCTCTTTTTTTGTAGTGTACTTTTCTGGTTTTGGAATTAGGGTAATTCCTGCCTTTAGAGAAAGAACTTGGAAGTATTCTTTCCTCTTGAATTTTTTACAATAGTCTGTAGGTGCCAGTTCTTGTTTTGGTAAAACTCCCCTGTAAAGCCATCCAGACCAGGGCTTTTGTTTGCTGGAAGTTTGTTGATTATTGCTTCAATTTGATCAGTAGTTATTGGTCTATTCAGGTTTTTCTTATTCTTCCTGATTTTGTTTTTCTAGGAATACATCCATTTCACTTAGGTTGCCCAATTTATTGGAATAGAGTTGTTCATAGTATTTATTTATTTATTATTGTTTTTTACAATCCTTTGTATTTCTGTGAAGTCAATTGTTACGTCACCTCTTTCATTTCTTATTTTATTTATGTGGGTCCTCTTTCTTTGCTTTTTGATGAGCCTGGCTAAAGGTACATCAATCCTGTTTATCCTTTCAAAGAACCAGCTCTTGGTTCTATTCATCTATTTTTTTGTCTCTACGTCACTTATTTCTGCTCTATCTTTATTATTTCCTTTCTTCTACTTACTCTGGGATTTTCTTGTTGCTCTCTTTGTAATTCATTAAGTTGTAGGTTTAGATAATTTGTCACCCGCTTTTCTTATTTTCATTTTTTATTTATTTATTTTTTAAATATATTTTATTGATTTTGTACAGAGAGGAAGAGAGAGGGATAGAGAGTTAGAAACATCGATGAGAGACAATCATTTGCCTCTTGCACACCCCCTACTGGGGATGTGCCCGCAACCAGGATAAATGCCCTTGACAGGAATCGAACCTGGGACCCTTCAGTCCACAGGCTGACGCTCTATCCACTGAGCCAAACCGGTTTTGGCCGCTTTTCTTATTTTTAGAGGTAAACCTGTAGTGCTATGAAATTCCCTCTCAAGATTGCTTTTACTGTGTCTGATAAATTTTGGATTGTTGTGTTTTCATTATCATTTATTTTTCAAAATGTTTTTTATTTATTCTTTGATCTCTTTGGTAACCAATCATTGTTTAATAGAATTCTATTTAGGTTCCAAAAGTTTGATTGTTTTTTATTATTTTTACTGTAGTCTATTTCTAATTTTATGACATTGCGATCTGAGAAGATGATTGATATGATTTCAGTCTCCTTGAATTTTTAGAGACTGTCCTAATATGTGATTTATCTTTGAAAATCACCCACATGCACTTGAGAAGAATATATATTACATGGCTTTGTGGTGAAATGTTTTGAAGATGTCAATTAGTTCCATCTGCTCTAGTGAGTTGTTTAGGATTGCTGTTTCTTTATTAATTTTTGTCTAGAAGATTTATCCAGTGATGTAAATGTGGTATTCAAATCCCCTACTATTTTGTATTGCTATCATTCTCCTTCTTGATATCTTCTAGAAGTATTTTTATGTATTTGGGTGCTCCTGTATTAGGTGCATATATATTTAACAGAATTATATCCTCTTGTTGAATTGATCTATTTAGTATTATAAAATGGCCTTCCTTATTTGTTATTATGGTTTCCATTTTGAGGTCTATTTTGTCAGATATAAGAATTGCTACCCCAGATTTTTTATTTTCTTTTTCATTTGCCTGAAAGATTTTTCCCATCACTTCACTTTCTGTCTGTATGAGTCCTTTATTCTGTGGTGGGTCTTTTGTAGATAGCATAGATATGGGTCATATTTTCTTATACATTAAGTTACCCCATGTCTTTTAATTGGGGCATTTCATATATTTACATTTAAGGTTATTATTGATAGCTATTTGTTTGTTGCCTTTTTTAATTTTTATTCTTTATGCCTGTGTTTCTTATTCCCTTTATATTTTTTCTTTTTACGACAGTCTCTTTAACATTTCTTGCATTGCTGGCTTGGTGGTAATAAACTCCCTTAGCCTTTTCTTGCCTGTGAAGGTCCTGATTTCACCTTCAATTTTGACTAATAGCCTTGCTGGATAGAGTATTCTTGGATTCAGTCCCTTGTTTTGCATCATTTTGTATACTTCATTCCATTCCCTTCTGGCATGGTGTGTTTCTGTTGAGAAATCATTTGATAGTCTAGTGGGAGATCCCTTGTAGGTAACTTTCTCTCTCTTGCAGCCCTTAAGATGTTTCTTTATTGTTAACATTTGCCATTATAATTACAATGTGTCTTGGTGGGTTCATCTTGTTTGGAACTCTGCTTATGTGACTTTTTTCTTCCACAAGTCAAGGAAATTTTCTGTCATTGTTTCTTCCAATATGTTTGTTCTGATTCTTATCCTTCTGACACCCCTATTATGCAGATTTGTTTGTTTGTTTTTTTGTTTCATGCTGCTCCAAAGCTCCCTTTATCTCTCCCACTTTTTAATTTTTTCCCCAATTGTTGTTCAGATTGGGTGTTTTTTATTAATCTTGTCTTCTAACTCCCTGTTTCAGTCCTCTACTTCTGCAAGTCTACTGTTGAAGCTTTTCATGGTGTTCTTTATTGCAGATATGTCATTCTTCATTTCTTCTTGATTCTTACAAATGCTGATGAATTTTTCATGTAGACAGTTGAGCATCCTTATAATCATTAACCTGAATTCTTTCCATGACATATTATTGGCCTCCATTTTATTTATTTCTTTTTCTGTTGATTCCTCTTTTTCTTTCCTTTGGTGGATTGTTTCTTTGCTTCCCCATTCTTTCTGCCCCTGAGCACCTTGCTTAGGTCTGAGAGGTCGAAGCCCCTAGTGGTCCAATGGTCGTGGATTTCTTAGCTCAGAGGCTGGATTTGCCATGAGTCTTACATCTTTATTGTCTTTGCTCTGAGTTGTACACCCTTCTCCCATGATTTGGACTCTTTGATGTCTGCTGCAGATGCTCAGGGTGGGCAGGGGTGTGTGCACAGTTCCTCTTGTGTGAGACTCCCTGTGAGGACCCAGATCCCTCTGACATGTACAGACCTAGCAACAGTGGCAGCATGGTGCTCTAGTCTCTCTGCAGCAGCTCACTTGCAGTGTTGTCCTAAGTCCTGGTATGAGTGCCAGGTTGCTTCAGCTCACTCTGGCAAGGTGGTCCTGTGACTCAGGGCTGAGCATGCCAGGTGTCTCCATGTCACACCAGCAGCATGGTCCTGGGGGCCCAGGAGGGACACACAGCTGGTGGCTCTGGGTTAAACAGTGAAGACCTGAGGCCTGAGTGGGACTGGGGCACAGAGTTCCCCTGGCTTGCCTCACAGTGTGAGGTCAGGGAGCACTGACAAGGAGGCGTGGTGTAGGAGGTCTCTGTGGTGAGCACTCACTGCAGACATCTGGAAGTCCACATGATGGTACTGCACCACTCATTTCCAGGGCTCAGTGGTGGTCCCACTCAGATTACAGCTGGCAAGTGGCCCCCTGCACAGGTCTGGAATGGTGTCTAGGTCAGTCTTGGTGTTCGTGTGCCTGCACTCCTGGCTTCCTCTGCTCCCCTCTCTGCCTTTTAAATATATTCCATCTCCATATCTTAGAAACACCTTTCTAACACCCTCACGAGTCCTCTAGGATGGTTGATTTGGGTCTTATCTCTAAGTTCCCCCCACCCCCCACTACCTATTTATTCTGACTATTTATTCAAGACGTATTAAAGGAACTAGGAGTATGAGGAAGAAAGTGAGTAAAACTTTATAGGTAGGAGGGCTTATCACTCCTTTAAGAGTTCCCAGACAAAATAAGGGATGCGTAGTTAAATTTGAATTGCAGATAACACATTATTTTTTAGCAGAAGAGTATCTTAAATATTATAGAGCCCATGTTTATACTAAAACATATTTGTGATATTTTCAAAATTAAATTTTAACTAGCCATTTTAATTTTCTAAATCTGTCAACTTTACTCTTGATTTATATGTGTGTTTTTTTTCTTCTCTCCAGGATATAATTAACGTCATAAGAAGGTATGTGTGTGTGTGAGACCAGACATGGTCCTTTTTGTGTGATGACGGAATTATAACTATGAGTAATCTTGAATAAATCATAATTTTAAACAATCATAGATATGGAAAACTTGGTTATTACATTATTTCACCTGCTGATGACAGGTGAGACTGTGTAATGGTATGGATTTTGGGTGGTGGGAAGTCACAGACTTAGGGATAATAGAAGCATTAGAAATAAGAGTCCCAAACAAGAGGCCTACACAAACAAATCTTAATTAAAATGCTACCTGGAAACTATTACGCTAAGTGAAATAAGCTAGTAAAAGCAAAACAGATATCACATGATTTCACTTATTTGTGAATGCTAAGGAACAAAATGAATTGACCATCAAAATAAGAACCAAGGCATGGAGACTTGGACCACATTGATATCTCTTGGAAGGTGGGGGGGGGTGGTGAGAAGAAGAGATAAACCAAATAACTTACATACTTATATGCATAGCCCATGGACACATACAATAGTGTGGGGGAGGTCTGCAATGGGTAGAGAAGGGGTAAAGTGTGTAAAATGGGGGACATCTGTAATACTGTCAATAATAAAAAATATTGTATATTAAATTTCTAAAAATGCTAGAGATTAAAGACAAAACAAGAATCTAAAAAGCAACAAGAGAAAAGTAGTTACTTACCTACAAGAGGATTCCCATTAAGTCTTTCAGCTAATTTCTCAATAGAAACTTTGCCAGCCAGAAGGGAGTGCCATGAAATATTCAAAGTGATGGAAACCGAGGACCTACAGACAAGATTAGTCTACCTAGCAAGGTTATTATTTAGAGTTAAAGGTTAGGTAAAGTGCTTCCCAAATAAGAAAAAGCTAAATGCATTCATCATCACCAAACTAGTACTACTTGAAATATTAAAGAGTCTTGTTTAGGAAGAATAAATAAAAAGAAAAATTAAAAAATAGGTGAAATAAAGGAAGATGAAAAAAAGAAAGAAAGAAAGAAAGAAAGAAAGAAAGAAAGGAAGGAAGGAAGGAAGGAAGGAAGGAAGGAAGGAAGGAAGGAAGGAAGGAAGGAAGGAAGGAAGAAAGAAAAGGAAGGAAGAAAGGAAGGAAGGAAGGAAGAAAGGAAGGAAGGAAGGAAGAAAGGGAGAGAGAAAGAGAGAGAGAGAAAGAGAGAGAGAGAGAGAGAGAGAGAGAGAGAGAGAGAGAGAGAGAGAGCGAAAGGAAGGAAGGAAGGAAGGAAGGAAGGAAGGAAGGAAGGAAGGAAGGAAGGAAGGAAAGAAGGAAGGAAGGAAGGAAGGAAGGAAGAAAGAAAGAAAGAGGAAGATTCAAGTCTCAGGGAATAATGGTTTTTAGTCCTGGTGTCAATAATAAATCTCTTTTTGTTTACACATATTAGCAACTTGTAGGAAAGTGGCTTTATTTGCCTAAAGTTGAACACATACTTGGCAGCATCAAGCACGTGAAATTCAGACCACTATTAATTTTAATATATTAAGTTCTCCTTTTTCAGATATTTGTAATGATTCCCCAGAGAAAGTGACATTCTATTTTATACTCGGCATCTGTATTGGGTTAATAGACTTAGAAAACACGTCAGACTTTCAGTCCAGAAGCCCCACACTTGCTAACCTAAAGCTCTCAGTAGCCAAGTTCTAGAGCCTCTCTGCTAAGCATCTGCCTGGGGACCTTCCTCTTCCTGGAGGAACCACTGAGATGGCAGTAACTCTTTCATATGTGAAAATCTTTTTATTAGAGATACCAGACAACTTTTAAAGGTACCGCCATTACATCTAATAGTGCATTATTTTAAGAGGTAGAAAGTATGGAGTTAATTTTTTTTTTCTTTTTCATTTTGGAAGGACGAACACGAGCTTCATGAGAAGTTCTTTCTAAGGTCACACAGAGGGTAGATAGAAAGGTAGACATGAAGACATTCCTTCTGGTTGCAGTGTCAGGGCTCTCACCGGTGCCCCCTTCAGGCTCTTCATGGAAGATGACTCAAGTGATAAGGCATCAATGGAATGAAAGATGAGAGAGACAATGGTCTTGGAGAGACAAAAGATAAGAAGTGTGAGGAATCAATTTTGTCTTATTTAGGAGCGAGGTCTGGACCTTGAAGAAGCCAAAAATTGTTTCCAAGAAACTGAGTACATTCCGATTTCCAGATCTGAATGGGATGCTGCAAGCGTTTAACGGTGAGGAAAGCCAGAGGAAGGGTGTATGAGATTCTTACAGTACCAGAGCACATGGAGGAATGGATGCTATTTCTATATGAGGACAAAAGGGAGGAGGTAGGCCTCACAAGAAGACATAGATACCCTGTGCTGAAGATGTGAACACATCTAAGTGGGAATGGCCAGGTGTCCTCCTTCACCAGTTGACAACCTCAAGAGGCTTCCCCTCCCACTCAAGAGCAAGGATAGGTATCAGAGGTTCCTCCTTTGCTTCTAACAACAACATTGATACTTTTGTCATTTCAGAGCTGGCGGAAGCCCAAAGCCACTGGGGTAAGAAATTACAGGTTCTTCAAATCTTCATGTTCTGATCCCTTTTCAGAAATTGTGCTTAATCTTAGGTCCCATGATCTCAGTTACTTATGTTCTACCCAAACAGATAAACATACAGCAGTTCTTAATTGATCTACTCCTTCCTGACCCATTAACTCATGTTCTTCCCAGTCAATTCCTAAATTCCTTCTCAAAATGCCACAAGATACACACGATACATGCCATATCTAATTCACCTGACTATGTAATTTTTTTCTACAGTGGACTTGACGCTGAATCCATTCAATGATCTATCGAATGTTGTCGTTTCTGAGGATCACAGACAAGTGACTATTGGGAGTGATTTTATGTTTCGGAATGTATACCCACGTAACTTTTCTGCTTTTGATGTACAGAGCAGTCAAAATTTCTCTTCAGGGAAATATTACTGGGAAGTTGATGTGTCTGGGAAAGTTGCCTGGATTCTGGGGGTATACAGTCAAACAAGCAATCTCAATAGAAATAAAAGCTTTGGGTTTGTTTTTACCCCCAAACCAAATTATTCAAATGCTTACTCCAGATTCAGACCTGAAAATGGCTACTGGGTTGTAGGGTTACAGAATCAATCTGAGTACAATGCCTTTGAGAACTCTTCCACCACTGATCCCAAGATCTTAACTCTTTTCATCGCTGTTCCTCCTCATCGAGTTGGCATTTTCCTAGACCATGAAGCAAGCACTGTCACATTTTTTAATGTCACAAATCATGGGTCACTCATCTACAAGTTCTCTAAATGTCACTTTTCTCAGACTGTTTATCCCTATTTCAATCCTTGGAATTGCCCAGTTCCCATTACTCTATGCCCACCGAGCTCCTGAACATACTCTCCTTCCCTCACCCAATTCTGTGTAGTGACCCTTGTCTTGGGCTCATCTCCTGCATCTGAGTTCACTGCTCCATTCAGACCTTCTCTTCCTTGCTGTCTTCCTTCTGTAGAGCATTTATTAATTCTGGGGTTAGAAGAGAAGCTTATTTACTCACCCTTTCCTATATTATTAGCAAAAGGTATGTAATTCCTCCTATCAACAGAAAAGTATAATTCCTCTATCCTCCTATTTTTTCCACATTTTCCTTTAACCCTAACTTGAAGAGATACTAATCATGACCTTAGGACAATCTATAATCACCCCACAACTAAGTGGTATTTGAGTGTACATCTATTTGTTGCCCAACATACAGCAGGTTGTCCAGAGAGGTTGTGTGTATGTGTGTGTGGGGGGGGGGAGGGCAAATGTAATATATGTACCCAGAGTAAACATTTTATGTTCAGGTGTTTGAGTTTAAATCCTTTCTCTTCTCTTACAAGGTGTGTAACGATGGATTATATTTTTGTTTCTTCTTATAAAATAAAAATTGGTTTATAAATTGCATCTAACTCTTAAAGATCTTTTTTGTGAAACTGTCACTCAATGTAAAGCACCTACTTAAGGGTTCTGCACAATATAATAAATGTGTGCTCTCATGATCTCAAAAAAGTATGAGCTGTGTCAGTGTCCTGTATAATGGATGTGTGCCCTTCAGAGGAAGAGAAAATGATTCTACTGAAGCTAATTTGTCAAGTTCCCAGACTCTGATGTCAAGATTACTCCAGTCCCAGGCTTGTGTCACAGATCTTTTTACATCGAGGCTGGGACTGTTTTAAGGCCCTTTACTGGGAATAAGTCAGGGGAAAAAAGCAAAAGTATGAGTTCCCAAGATCTATCCAACCAAGGGAGCCATGTATAGGGACAGCCATTCCTATTAGGGACAGTCTTTTGGTGTTCAGAGTTTGTCCTTGTGCTGAAAAGATAGATCTAAGTATTACATTCTATATACTGTACAATGCCTTTTTATTTTCTTTACTTTTAAAATTTGTTTCAAATTTTGATGAGGAATAGACTCACCCAGGATAGTAAAGGAACTTTTCTGGGAGAAGCACACATAAATTAAGGCAGCTACTACACAGAACCCAAGTCAAGATATAGAGGGGTAATAACTTGTTTCAGTAGAATTAAAAGGAAAATACTCATCCTGCGAAAGGTATGTACATGCACACTTATATTTATACACACAAACATACAAGTAAAAAAAATATATATATATTTATAAAATTATATGTATAGATACATAGAGAGTATATCTATACAAGTTGATTTTCAAAAATATCATAGAAGAAAGAATTCCTCCAGGGAGTTAAAGAAATTTATAAACTTGTGAGGTATGTCCCAAAGTCTCACAGCTAATTAGTGGAAGAGACCAGATTAGAATGAGATATGTGATACTGCAGCTCACATGTCTTTTCTGCATTTCACTCCCCAAGAAAAGATTGGAGCCAAATTCCCTAGGATGTTGGGTAGGAGAGAAAACCCATGAGATGCTGATTTACACAAGGAACCCGGAACATCATGGGATAATATTAGTGCCAGGAGATAGTGATTGATGTGCTCAATCCATATAGATATTAATGAGGTGGGAGTTGCTCATGGTAATGTTTAAAACTAAGTTGAATAGTTCATGACCAGGGTGCTCTTCCACTCATTAGCTGTGGGACATTAGGTTGATTAATCTAGGAACCGAGATTTATCTCACATATATGGTAGGAAGTTGGTAAAACAAGTATATATTAAGGAATAGTTGAAAAGATGAATTATCTTTAACTTAGATAAAGAGGAATACAAAGACACCTGGGCACTGAATGAATAGTGGAAAATTCACTTCCCTAGGGAGCTCGAGGTTGTTGAAGAATAAATTAGAAATAGTTGGACCATACAATTGGAAAATCCAAAGTAAAATGTCTAACTGTATGAGTTATGAGGTTAGCCAATTTTGGATTACAGTGCCTTCAAGATATGGCCCTGGAATTAGGTGGCTGACTTTTAGTAACAAAATGACATCACTCAGGATGTTGTGCTCCTCGAGGAAAAGGTTTTGAATAGGTGGGTGACAGTTTGTCTATTGTTTTCAAAGAATAAAGAGAATTAGAAGGAGCCCTGTGGAAAAATATTTTTTAAAAAGGGGAAAATTTATTTGTTTATGAACTTATTTATTTAAAATCAGAGTGCCAAGAAGAGACATCTGAATATGACAACATGTTCATTAGGTGTGTTTCTTTAACAATACAAAGTATATTTTGCTTGATTTAACATTTTTAAGTTTAATTTTCCCTTTGCTGATTTTTTACTTTGCTAGGTTTCTTCCTTTATATTTACTTATTTTTATTACATTTATTGGGGTGATATTAATCAGATGATATAATTTTGAAGTGTATATTTTTATGATACATGATCTGTATATTGTACTATGTACCCACCACCCAAAGTCAAGTCATCCTCTGTCATCATATATGATACTTTACCCTTTACTATTCCCCATCCCTTTCCTTCTGGTAACCACCATACTGTTGTCTGTGTCTGTGGGTTTGTTTTACATCCCACCTTTATATTTAAAATTGTCTGAAATACACTTGTCTGTCTGTTTTAGATCTTTCCCATGTGAGCAACATATAATCAGATTTTATTTTATAAGACTTCAGTGCTTGGAAGTTCAAACAATATATAGTTGTAACCTAAGTGAGGAGCTTGATTTTGATGCTAATTTGTTTTATGTAGTCAATTTTCTATGTTTCCTTTATGTGACTTAATTTTATCACTTACTATCAAGGTATCATGTACATGCCATGTGACACATACTCTATAGAGAATTTTGGTTATGTGCATAGGAGTCTAGGACTCCTTGCATTTGACCCTCAACTTTACTATTTTCTTATTGTGTGACCCTTGGTAAGCTATTTAATATCTCTCTGCCCAAGTTTCTACATCTTTAAAATCATAGGGTTGTTAAGAGAATTATAGAAGTGATTTCATGTAGAGCTTTAGATTTGCGTACTATATTAAATGTTCTCAGAAACAATGAACTCTTGCTATGAAGGTTGCTTATTTGCTTTTATCTTGACCTGGAATTTAGAATATAAAACATATTTTCCAGCGTATAAGATGACCCCCCAATTTTACAGTTAAAACATAGGTTTAGGCCTATATTCGCTGTATAAGACTACCCCCCACTTCCGAGGCAACACCAGTTCTTTTTTTAATAGACCGCCTCTCTGACTCTAGCCATGTACACTGTGTTCTAGTAAAAAGCCTGTTCATATTGGCCATAATTTTACAGTTAAAACATAGGTTTTAACTGTAAAATTATGGCCAATATGAACAGGCTTTTTACTAGAACAGTTAAAACCCATGTTTTAACTGTAAAATGGGGGGAGGGGGGTCGTCTTATACGCCGGAAAATACGGTACACAAATTTTATATTTTTCCACCTGAGTATTGATCAAAAACACATTTGAACCACTTTCCTCATTAAATCCTAAGTGTGGGCTGGAGGCTGAGCTGCATATGCTTTCTGCTTATATACACATATACACTGGTCTTCTAGGGAAACATAAACAGTGCAAAACTCCACTGTAGAGCTTATTAGTGTGGAACCTGGGACCTCACTCTGAAAAACAGTATTAGACTAATATGGGTTTGTTTTATATCCCATCTAGAGACTATCTTGAAATGGGACATTTAATAATTTTAATTGGTGCACTGTGTTAATGATTTTTACATGTTCTGTCCTATTTAATCTGTCAATCCTTATATAACCTTGACGGGCAAGAATTAGATGTTCACATCCTATTTAAAAAAGAGGGAATATACTAACTGACCCTCATGCTATCACAAAGATGGCTGCAGCCACAGCCAATAATGAGGGAATATGCTAATTGACTGCCCACCCTCAAATATTACAGCACTCACAGCCACAAGATGGTGGCACCCAATCCTATCAGCTCTGCCAGGGTGGCAGGTGTTTGGCAAGGCTGGGCCTACCCCCGGACAAGCCCAGCTGCTCCAGGGCCACCTGAAACTCAGGTAACCAGGGCCGAACAAGGCTTGCATTGCAGGCAGTGGCAGCAGCAGAGGTGTGATGGTGTGTTGCTTATCCCTGATTTCCAGGTCGCCTCCCACCCCTGAGGGCTCCCAAGCTGTGAGAGGGGGCAGGGTGGGCTAAGGGACCCCCCCTCCAGTCCATGAATTTTCATGCACTGGGCCTCTAGTTTTTATAGAAAACTTGTCCAAAATCTTTTATCTAGTAAGTCAGAGCATGGGCTCAAAACCTAGTGATGTGATAGGCATGCATGAACACACAACTGCACACCCACTGGCACATCATCTCACATGCAAATACAAAACCAAAAATGCACCCTGAGGCAATGTTGATGCTCAATCATGGGCAGGGTTAAAATAAGCTTCTCTATACTCTTCCCTTGAGAGTCAGGGTCCCTCAGGCCCTTACTATCTACCTCTTCCCCACATTGAGCAGTTACCAGAAAAAATAAATGAGCAGGGAATCACCTGCCCATCAGTCCCTTCTCCCCTTCAGTTATCTCTTTGTTTGTGACTCTGCCCCTCTTGTAGATCCTCTGTGTGCTGGTCAGAACAATCTTTCTTCTCTCCATTTGGCTCTACTGAGGATTAGGTGAGTCCTGGCTGTTCCAAGGGATGTGGTTTGGACTCAGATTTGGAGAGAAATGAGGAGGGAATGAAAACCTCTGTGTTTCATTTTCCAGGAGCCAGGAACTAAGTACTATACCTTTCTTTCTTGAGCAACTCCCAACTAAAAGCTCAGGTCATGCTCTCCAATGGGACTTGTATTTGCTCCATCAATGGGATTCAAAAGATTAGAATAAGTGGACAATTATATAGTTGAGTTAAGAATGGCCATTGTAAGTGATATATTTTTTTTAGGTCAAATATCTGACAAGGACCTGTAGCCCTAACTTAAGAGTGGAATGAAG